GAGGGGTGTGGGGTGAGGGGGCAGCCAGGTGAGGGGTGTGAGGGGGCAGCCAGGTGAGGGGTGCGGCAGGAAGTACCTGAGTGCCAAGTTCCGTGCATTCTGCTGTCTCAGACTCGAATGTCTGCTTCTGCAGCGTCCTGTGGAAATCTCTCCGGGACCCGGCCTTCCGGAACCCGCAGGTCTCGGGGTTCCCCTGGTTCCTTAGTGACGGTGGTTATTTCATTTGGAGGGGAGACAGAGAAGAGAGAGGGAAGGCAGAAACGTTAGAGCGGACATGAAAATCAAGGCCTGTGGTCACATTTAATTATGCGGTGGGCCCTTCACAAAACTCCTTTGTCACCAGGGAGAAGCGGCCACTCCAGCTGGCGTGGAATTAAAGGCAAGGCTAGTCTGGGAAAAGGCCACCCAAGGGGTGCTCACTGGGCTCGGGGGCATCTGGCTGCAAGCAGGATCGAGACTCCGATCCCAGTGTGAGAGGGGACAGACCCAGCAGTGCAGGCGTGTGAGAAAAGACTGAAGATGAAAATGGAGGAAGGCTGGCATTCATCTGTGTGGCGATGGGCTTTAAAAAGAATTAAAAAATAGAAATCGATGGTCTATCCCCTAAAGTCTTGGCTAACTAATATGAGACTTCTCTCTGGGAGCTCCAGTGAAACTGTGTTTTTAAAACCATGTAGCTAATTAAAAGGTTCTCCCACACAGATTGAGCGCATTGGAGAAGGTGACAGAGGGCAGCTTGGAGCAGGAACGAGCTAGATACCAGTGGGTAAGGGTGAGTAAGCCTGTGGGGCTGGGCCCCTGGTGAGGCAATGCGTTCAATCACTAAGCAGAAAGGTGGAGCTGGAGGTTATAAAAGCTACCTACCTACCTACCTACCCACCCTCTCACCAACCTACCTACCTGCCTCCTCCCTACCTATCTACCCACCCACTCACCTACCTACCTAGCTACCTGCCTGCCCACCCGCCTGTCCACTTACTCACTCATCCACCTACCTGCCTGCCTACCTACCTAGCTACCTACCTTAACTCACTAATTCATAGCTGTGAAGTGGGAACAGACTCAGAGCTGAGCATCTAGTAGGTCTTCGGGGGCTGTAAACAACATGAGAGGAGATGCCCGTCTTTCTCCTACGTTGTTGCTGGTAGAACCCCAGAGTGGCCCGCGTCATGGGCTAGCCGGGGCCGGCGCCAGGGGCTAGCGGGGCGACTCCCTACAGACTCCACCCAAGCAGGTCACATCGTTGTTAATCAAATGTTAACCTTCTGACTTTAGGACACATACTTAAAAAAATTCTTCAGTGAAATTGCTGACTCATTGAAGAACATGTTTCATTCTGACATTCTTATGTAATACGGTATCTTACATAATAAAACTTTTCTTATGTTTATATAGTTTATACATTAGATTGTATAACATACACAAATGTATCTCTAAGTAATTATTTTGTGGATTATTCCTAGTGTGTGTACACACACACTCTCTCACACACACACGATGTAATTATAGATATTTGTGTATAAGATGATGTAAGAGGGAGCTCTGGTGGCCTCGTGGCCAGAAGCTGCACTGCAATCCTGAACGCACATGGTTCGGTTCCACCAGCAGCAATGCAGGAAGAGGATGAACAAAGGTTTAAAGCCAATACCGCACAGTCACATCTCTTAATGGGATCAGATTGCCTTACAGTTCTTCTTCAGAGTGGCTGGCAGATTTGAACCACCAACCTTTCCGTTATCAGCCCAAAACATAACACATTGTGTCATGGGGGGGGTCACAACCCATTGTCACAGGTAGATATTATTTTTATATACCCTGAGCAGCAAAAAAAAAAAAAAATTCTTCTGACTCCCCTTATTGTGATACTTGATTTACTATGGCAGTCTGCAACTAAAATGTCTCCAAGGTGTGCCTATATTTACTTTACTTTTTTCCTCCCTCTTTTTTTATTATTATTAATTTTAATGACTGTTTACAGAGGCTTTGGATTTCCAGTCATTCATCATTGCAGTTTTATCCCTGCCCACCCCTCCCCCCAGTTCAATCTTCTCTTTGGAAAGTAAAAGAAAAATTCTTTCATTGTTATACAATCCCTCCCCCCAGGTCCACTCCACTGTGCAGCCTTCATTCCAGACTCCTGCATGACAGTAATACCTTATCATATATCCTTTCTAAACAGTTCTCTCCCTCATCTGTTTCAATGCAGTATACATTATTTACACATTATACATTATTCCATCTTTCTCAGTCTCCCCCCAACCCCGATGTCAGTCCTGTTTTACAACAGTGGCACTACACAATATTTGTCCTTTTGTCACTGAGATACTTCACTCAGCATAATGTCCCCCAGGGTCACCCATTTTGAATAATATTGCATGAGTTCCTTGTTTTTCAGTGCAGCGTAGTATTCCATTGTGTGGATATACCACAGCTTCTCTATCCATTCATTTGTTGATGGGCACTTGGGTTGTTTCCAACTCTTTGCTATTGTGAACAAAGCTGCAATAAACATGGGCGGGCATATATCTGCTTGGGTGGCGGTTATAAAATACATCTGTTTGTCAGGATTTATGTCTAGAACATCATTAACCACACAAGCACACCCACATGTGCACCCACACACACAGGCTGACATGTACCTGCCTCCACAAAGTACAGAGTTCATACTCAAGTGCCTTCTCTCTGAACCTCTGTTTCGTCATCAGGTGAGCTAAGACATGAGGTAATTTGTAAGATTTCCCCCAGAATTTTAAATTTTAGCAGAAAAAGTTCATAAATTCTACCTGAAACACTTAAAATCAAATGTTCTGCCCCAAAGATACATGTGTTTTGGGGACATGTAGTTCGCTTGCTATTGTTCCTTTGCTATTTTATGCAAACAGATGCTTCCTTTTCTATACTCTATTTTTCTGCAGATGAATCTTTGTAGAAAGCAGAGAGTACCAGAGGAATGCCTATCTGTGTTTCGTTGAATATACAAAGGCTTTTGACTGTGTGGATCACAACCAATTGTGACTGACTCTGAAAAGAATGGGAATCTCAGAACACTTGATTTTGCTTATGTGAAACCTACACGAGGACCAGGAAGCAGTCCTCAGAACAAGGCAGGTAAACACTGCATGGTTCAAAATCAGGAAAGGATTGCATCAGGGATGTGTCCTGTCTCCACACCTTTTCAATCTGTATGTGGAACAGACCATTTGGGAGGCTGGGCTTTATGAGTAGGAATGTAGCATCAGGATTGGAGGAAGACTCATCAACAACCTGTGAGACTCATCAACAACTTGTGATATGCAGATTAGGTAACCTTGCTTGCTGAACCTGAGGAGGACAGGAAGCGCTGGATGTAGAAAGTCAAGGACTATAGTCTCCAATACAGATTAAAGCTCAACATCAAGAAGACAAAGATTCCCATCACTGGGCCAATTGACAGCACCATGTTAGATGGAAAAGAGATTGAGGTTGTTAATAAGACTGAGGTTGTTAATAATTTAGGCTTATTTGGCTCCCGCTGTCAGAAAATTTAAAGAGGAATTGAACTAGGAAAATCTGCTGTCTGCTACCTCTCAGAGTACTGAGGAGAAACTATAGTCAGACTCAGGTGCGCCTGCTCCAGGCCATGGTGGTCACAATCACTTGCTATGATTCAGAGAGCTGGACAGTGATTAAGGCTGAGAGAATTGATGCCTTTGAGTTGTGGTGCTGGAGAAGAATATTGAACATACCATGGAATGCCAGGAAAAAAATTAGGTCTGAATTGGAGAGGGTGAAATCAAGTTCCTCCCTGAAGGCAAGGATTTTGATGCTCATTTCACATACTTTGGGCATGTGGCCAGGAGGGACCAGTCCTTGGAGAAGAACACCATACTTGGAAGATTGGAGGGACAGGACAGGAGAGGAAGACCCTGGATGAGATGGGTTGATACGATAGCTGGGGTAAGAGGGTCGGTGTGTCAGAGACCGTGAGACTGGCTCAGGATAAGGCAGGGTTCAGAGCTACTGTCCATAGGGTCACTATAACAAGCTATGTCTCTATTATGGTGTTGGCACAGATAATTATTGAATGTACCATGGACCCTGCCAGAGGACCAAACAAATCTGTCTTGGAACAAGAACATCCAGGCTGTATCGCACAGTGTCACAGAGTCTCAGGCACGTCATCAGGAGGAGCTTGTCATACTTGGTCAAGAGGAAGGTTGCTGAAAAAGAAGAAGGCCCTCAAGGTGATGGAGTGACCCCTCCAGGCGGCCGCAAGAGTGCACGGTGGCCCCGGAGCAGTTGTAAGGGTGGTGCAGGGCCAGGCAGGGCTTCCCTCTGGGACACACAGGGCTGCTGGGGGTGCAAACTCACTCCACAGCTGTAGCCGCCACCACCACTACCACCTCTGTGTGGAGTCTCTTGACTGGGGCAAGGGTTAGGTGCTTAGCTACTTTCCCAAAAGGTTGAGGATTCAAGTACACCCAGAGGTACCTTGGAAGAAAAGTCTGCTGATGGCTGATCTGCCTCCAAAATACCAGTCACTGAGAGCCACGGGCCACGGGCCACAGGCCACTTACACACGGGGCACCTCCAGAGAGAGCAGCCTTGGGATTCCTGCTGTGTGAAGCATTCAGATGAGTGCTCCACGGCGCTGCGTGTTTGGAACCAGACCAGGCCTCCTGCCCTTCCTCATTCTACATTTAGCACCTACTTCCCCATGTTAAAAGCTCAACGTCTCAGAGCCCCATGTGCAACCAGGGCAGAGCTAGCAGCTGCGAGGGAGGCCAGGGGTTGGCAGGCACAAAGATGACTCATTTCACAACTGCCAGCCGTGGAAACAGGAACGGCAGGGTGGGGGGGGTGAGGGGTGCCCAGATCCCTGCTGGGCATCCCCGTGATGAGATCTCGGGCTCCCCCCAACCCTGGAATCCATGCCAAGCTAGCCTGAGTTCCCGCAGCACCGACAGGAGCAAGATGAGTGGGGAAGTCAGCTCATTGTGGAGAGACCGTCCTCATGCGGATCGCTGCTTCACGGGAGGAAGGCATCTTCCTCGGACTCGCTGCTTCCGCATCTGGGGTCCATATGGTGAGCAGATGCCCCTGGAGGGTGGTGGGCAGGAGAAGCTGGTCTGAACTGCAGGCACAGGGTGGCACTCAGCTGCGGCCCCCACCCCTCACCAAGTGACTTAACATCCCTGAGCCACACTGTCCCCAGTGTGTG